TTATTTGTTGCTTGTTTGAGACTGAACCAGAACAACAAAACACCACTAATTAAGGTTTTTGTGAATAAGGCAGCAAGGCCGAGGATCGCCCGCCTACCGAATGTGAAATTCAACCTCATATGTTCCACATTCATCGTCAGTCAGAGCGAAAGATGATGGAGGAAAGTGAGCCCAAGATCTAATAGGTTGTTCTTATACAGGAAAAGGTAGCATGAAGATTACATAGAGGAGATATTCACACGAACTAATTCGTCGCATCAGCACCGCACTCACGCCCAAGTACATCTACAGCGCAATCGCGCGCAAAAATGTTGCTCGATAACGTCAATGAGACAGTCAATCTAAATCTGGTGCGCAACTACTAGTAGGAGCGATATCGCGCGGTGACCTCGTGCTAAACATCTGCAAGAGAGAATTGCGAACCGGGTGAGATATATATGTGAGAAATCATTTGAGCTGATTCACATGATACACACGATGAGGGGCAAGCATTCTTCTGACTACCTATGGTCAATACAAAAGAAAATCAACCACGGCGCGAGCAAGAAAGTGTTTGTTCAAATTCAGCAGAGTACAAATCTTACTTTATGCCTTGTGCAATGCACAGTTCCTTTTACCCGATCAGCAGACCAAAGATCGGTGAAGATCCATCCAACACGCTTCAATCCTAGCCAGTTACAAAGCTGATCCACTGCCTGAATGAAAAAGAAATAGCCTAGAAAGAAGTGGAGAATTTTACCAGTATATTACATCTTCGTGAGGATCGTCAAGCAGTTGTACTCCATCAGGAGAGCAACTTTGAGGAGGTTCATAAATAGCTGCAACGGTGGCTTTTATACCGAGCGGGACGTCCGAGAATGGTTGATATCTAAACTAATTTAACTTCGAGAGCTTGAGTAATGCAACGAGGAACAAAGAAACGAATGTACCTACTTTCCAATGAGATAACCGATTCGTTGATTTCCAGTCGTTCGCCAAAAATTTAAGAAATCATTCACAATGTCTTGATTTTCAAAAAATATGTTGTCGACGTGACGATACTTCTTAAAAGGTATCAGACAATTACAAGAGCTAACGAAAAGCAGAAGTATACCATTGAATAATGAATTCTTCGACCAAAACTATGCTTTACAACGAGCCGAAAAGCGTTAACAAACAGTGCCCACATGACAAAACCTTCCTTTCTTATGCGATACCCCCTGAGTTACAATTACAGCCACAATTTTTTCATAATTTCAACTTCAGCCCTATTGAGATCGCGCACCATATGGCTTCTTGCGAACGAGACGGTGAACAAAGCTTCTGACCTGGCGATTCAATGTCATCACTGGCGGTTTGCACTTCGTACATACTCCTTTCGGATACGGTTTGTGGGCAGGGCAGTTCAAATCAATAGTACAACTGAAGAGGAGCAGATTCAAATCGCAGTACTCAGACAACAAAGAAAATGAATGAAATTTTGATTGCAATAAACGAACAAATGCTGAAGCAATACCGTATATTCTCTAACGGGCGTTTTAACTGTGAGCCTTTGCCATGCCCCGATGTGAGTTTCGTACATGTGCGTGGAAAGACATATGTTTGATATCCTTAGACTTTAGGTAGTCTTCATCATATGGCTGAAATATTGCAAATAATCAAGAAAAGATTATAAGAACATATTGTGCTTTCTTGTATTTTTTTTCAGCTGCACTACAACAAACCACGTTGTCAACCATTCACTTGCGGCGCCGTGGAGAGAGTGGCCCCAATAGTGGTAACTAAGGCCAACCGTCCGTAATTTGAAGTTCGGAAGAAGTGGGGGGGGAGCGGAGAAAGTGGGAGGGAATCGGTTTGCAGCCTATCTAGAAGGGAGTGGTCGTAGCTTCACCAGTTATCATTTCTTGTAAGTGCGAACGCGGATGTATCTATTATGTGAAGGAACCACTGGGAGAGAATGACGTGTTTCTGAATTGTTCTAACATTTTGGTGAAATTTCTATGGGGGAAGCATTAATGGCATCAGGAGCTTTGACGTTTCTTACCATTTTGCCCCTCACCTATCTCGACGGCCGCTTAGGGAGGAAGTGGACGGGACTTGTTGAGAATTCCTTGCGACCGCACGATCGACACGTAAGCCGGTGTCACTTTGCGAATCCAGCGATTCGCTAACGAATCGCGGGGTACGAGCGTTGCAACAGCGGATTGAACGATGTACCAACGACCTGACACTGCTTTAATGGCAAAGTTCAGGCTCAGAGCCACTTAATGAGCCTTTACTTTGGCTGGAAGCGCTGGGTACGCAAGTGCCAGATTCTAAGAACTTTGACACGCCCACTAGTTCGAAGCACGACTCCGCCCACCATCGATCACTGTGTGATTGCTGACTGATCTGCTATGCTCTCTCTACTCGTACTTCTCTAGCGCTCTCCGCGCTCACATCCCCCTGCCGACCATTTGAACTTCTCCGCAGCTGGAGCAAAAGACTCATATTTCCTTTGTATTTTACGATTTTCTTTCCTATTTCCTCTACGTGTAGCCCACCTACCATCCCTACTTTCATATTTTAGTGAAATCATCGCATCGAATTCATCCAACTGTCTTTAAAGTGGCGGAACTCTCTCCTTTGCACGTTGACTCTCGCTACTTTCTCGAGCTCTCATGCCCCGTGACGAAAAATAGCAAGAGCCAAATTTCAAATTGATCTCGCCACTTTCAAACAGTATAAAGTCGCTGGTACATCGTTGGATCCGCTGGTACACAGTTCGACTCGCTGGCACAACGCTCGTATCCAGCAATTCGCAAGCAGATTGCTGGATTCGCAAAATCTAACACCGGCCATATCTGTCCCACAATCGAACTAAAAGCCAAAACGCTGAATGTGATTATACTCTAATATCGTTCACAGAATCGTTTAACCTACTCGCGACCGCGCGGGATTTTCAATGACTGCTCGTTCGGACCAGCGCTCGCAGGATTACTGCGTAATGTCAGCACGGTAGCCTGACATTCGCGAATGGTAAGGCCGCAGTGAGCTAGCAAATCAGCGTTCGCATTCACAAAGTTACTGACATCGACCTTTGTAGCTTGTAGCAGGTCAACGCCCGTGAGGCAATTCGCTAATTTCTGGACTTACCCTGCACCTTACCTACATCTGCGCCTTATTGCGAAGAAATATGAAGGAATGAAATGATTGTAATAGCTTGTAGCTACGGACATATGAGCCAGTGACCATGTCATCTGGGGACCTGCCTAGCGTTACTAGAGAGACGACTTTTTCGCTTAGAACTGTACCCCATCCTGTCAAAATGACTCAAGTTGACGTTCGACTATGAAGGAGCCCTCTTATATCAAGTCCCATTTTTCCCTTCTCTGGTTGAAGTTGTCTGTTAATGATGGCTTGCTCGCTATGCACTCATTCTTTATGTCAAATTTTTCTAGCCCTCTGACTCCTCATCCAGATTTAAACACAAAAATAACTCTCTTTCTTCGTCTCCGTGTTTGTCTCTTTCGCTCTATCGACTGTTACTAGCATAAGTTCAATTACTGAGTAATTCAGCCCTTATGGAACGGATCTACTCGTTGCACTATCAATAATAACTTGTACGATTAAGGATTTTGGGGTCTATTCCAGTTAGGGGGGGCATCATGATGCAGTTTCTCGGCGAGCTAATGTAAACTCGAACATTCCAGCTTCTCACGCATGTCAAGTGACTGCCCTCACCCCCACCCCCTAGGCTGGCTACACTCCCCCTGGCTCAGAGTTACCGTAGCTTTTTGGGAGTCACCGCACCATGATGCCCCCCCCTAACTGGAAATAACTTCGGAAGTTGAATACAAGAAGCCTTACATCTATGGGAAGGCAATGAGCACACTTCTGTCGCGCATTGTGATGGCACATTTTTGGATCACGAGAGCGCTTAATCTGCCCATCTTCAGCGGCAAGAATCAAATCCACGTCGTCAAGTTTTTCCTTCTCTTTTGCCTCCAAAACCATTCTCTGAAAAGCAGCCTGCAACAGGACACACATTTTGGAAAAATGCTGAAGTTATAGGAGCTTATGCGGAGGTTATACAACAGTAACAAACAACACCTTTAGAAAGGTTTCAGTTTGTCATCGTTTCAAGCGGTCGTCGTAAATCCGTGCAAAAGATACGTATTCTCAGATGGAGCAATGAATCTGTCGCCGCATTTTGCTGCGCTTTCCAGTCAAAGGTTGATGTCTATTTGGAAACATCTTGTGTGCAATAGCCGGATGGTTCATAAAAAGTGTCGTGCCACGGGTGGGTTCTCAGTTACTTGTTTGGACTATGTTCCGACGAATAGCTCATGATACTTTCATGTACTTAGTTGTCAGTATTCAGACGTCCCGTATTTGCGTAGCAATATTTATCGTTATAAAGTGCCAGACGAGAAGGTAGGATGGAATGTACCATTTCCGGAGTATGACCCATCAGATCACACTGATCCAAGGGCGGTAGGCAAAAGCTGGTCCGATCCTGATCCACAAGCAGCTGATGTCTATACAGAGCGAATTGACGAGTAGATGGCCAAACATCAATAGGAAGTCGTTATTGGAGGTAAGGTAGGCTTCCATTTCCGAGTTATCTCTTCAACAAAGTCTGATAATAAATTGCTTCATAAGAGACGTATAATTTTTAGCGACTATTCTTTTGATTCGATGTCAAGGCCAATAAATCCGATGGGTCGAACAGGGCTTCGTGGACGAGGTCTGCTAGGAAGGTGCACTTTGTTATGTTATGTTATGCTTACCAGAAATTACCATAAGATCCAAAATTAAAACAAAACACGAACATACGAGAATAGCAGGTAACTAGTTAGACTAGGTTAATAACCTAGTCAAAATTAATCAACAACACAAAGAAATAAGAAAGCTTATGCACCCAGGGACTGATAGAACAGTTAATTTCAAGGAACTATGAGAATGAGAGTTCTAGATAAATGCATGAGCTATATTACCGCGAACACCTTGGGAATGAACCTTCGACAGCGAAACTTCTTTAGGTTACTTTGTAGCGCTGTGATTGTAAAGTTTCGAAATGGGCCCAACTCAACAGTGATACAGAAAGATTCAAGTTTTAAACCGTGCAATAATTTAAATCCCTGGCGCTGCTGATAAGGATAAAAAGATAAAGGATAAAGCATTTGCCGTTGATCAATCCCTTTTTGGGATGCGGCACGCATTCTACTTCCATTTGTACATTCGCAGTGGCATTTGAATGCGATGTGGCCTATACAATGACTTGCGGGGGCCAGCCGATGTTCAAGTCAGTGTTTTTATCCTCCCAGACAAGTCTGGTACCAATTAACCGACCCCGGAGGGATGGAAGGCTTGGTTGGCCCGGGCGACTCACGACCCAGGATTTGATCCCGGACCGCTCGCGTGGTGAGCGCGCCACTTGTCACTGCACCACTTCCGCCCCGTTTTTCATTAAGA